CTAATTGCAAAAATTAATATGAAAGTACGTTAAATCAAACGATTTCCACATATATTAAATGATTTAATTTGTCATAAACTAGCTCTTTGCTTATTAATTTTTTCTTAAAAGTTACCATGTAATAGCGGTAAGAAATTAGAGGGTTTAGAATCGGATCCTTTAATATTGCATACGGTAAATTCCATAGTCGATTTATCAAGATATAGGCTTAATGTTATAGCAAATAATCTTGCACATTTATTAGAGACTATATCAAAGGTATCTAAATATACTTATCAATCAAATATTGGTTGATAATTACGAATTTAATTTTACTATATATTAGAAATTTTTTTTTGTAATTATTGATAAATTTTGATTTATTAGACAACATTACCGAATGCTAGTGAAGAAAACATTCCAATTGATATTTTACAATCTCAATTATTCATTATTAAAATACTTTCAGCATGTGTAATAAATCATTGGACATTTGTTCGAGGAACAAATCATTCATCTGAGCCATTAGTAAAACAAATACAATCAGAAACTACACAAACACATTTGGATTCCAAATCTAATCATAATGATCATAATTTCACAAATGGTCATAGAGTATTTATATTACCAAAATCATTTGATGATCCTCCTCCTTTAGATGATTCTCTTGCAAAATATATTTTAAGTGTTTTATCAAGGTTTCTTAGACAAATGGCTAATTTAGAAGATAATACTAATAGTGATAGGCAAACTTCAATTATAAATGCTCAAGATCAGGCTTCAATAAATTTATTTGCAAATTTAAATTCAAGTTCATCCAATATATTTGAAATTATTACAGATATTTATAGGAATGCTGGTCATGTCATTTTTTACATAAGTGCCTCAAATTGGAATGTTGTGTTTTCAAGAATTAAGAACAGAATAGGTTATTTGACATCTACAAATGATGAGCGACCAGAGACTGCGGAATTAAAGTTTTTGGAATGCTCTGATTTAAATTCAAAAAGATTGTCAATAGTTATACAAGGTTTTGGCATATATTTTTTTATGATCAATTTAATTAAGTTTAAATTTAAATATATATTAATGTTTATGTTAATGCTTATATAGAGCTATGTGGTTCATTTCTTAATCTTAAAAAGACGGCACAATCA